GAAACATTAGAGAGAATCCACAGAAAGCTTACAGCAGGGGCATCGTTTAAAGATTTCTTTACAGCACTGATATAGACTAATTGATGTTTTTTTGTGAATCTAAGCCCCTGCTTTTCAGACAGAGTAATGATAAACTATACAGAAATGGAGCGTCCATTTGTCCCTCAATTCAATTCGCGCAATCTTTTGCAAAACTACACAAGAAGAACCACTCACAATACAACCTGGAGCCAAACTGCATTCATTCTCTAATCTGGGCTTTAAACTATTTTATGAACACCACGATGGAGAAAATGGTCAAGTAAGCAATGCAAGCTCTGAAACTAGATCTATACAGAAAAAGATTTGTTTCCAGTTATAGCACTATTTTGACATTGTGGGTAGCGATGGATTAAAAGTTGGCTTTTCAATCTGCAACCAAGATATTAGCACCATGTTCTTACTCTCCACTGAGGATATGCACTACCGGTCAAAAGTTTGGAATAATTATGATTATTTTTTTATGTTTTTGAAAATGTTTTATGCTCACCAAGCCTGCATTAAAAATTTTTTTTTGAAATATATATTTTTTAAATACAGTAAAATTATTTTATTAGAATGATTTCTAATGGATCATGTCACACTGAAGACTGGAGTATTTGAGTTGAATTACTGAAATAAATGAACTTTTCCACGACATTCTAATTTATTGAGATGCACTTGTATATATATATATATATATATATATATATATATATATATATATAATAGCAATACTAATTAACTAATTTGGTTAGTTAATCATTAAGTAAACATCTCTACTTAATATTTAAATGCTTGTGGAGGCCATATGTGTCACCTGACTATATTTTTCATTTGTGACCCTGGATCACAAAACCAGTCTTAAGTCGCTGGGGTATATTTGTAGCATTGTAGTATTTTTCATTTATGCCAGAAATCATTAGGATATTAAGTTAAGACCATGTTCCATGAATATATTGTCAATTTCCTATACCGTAAATATATCAAAACTTAATTTTTGATTAGTAATATGCATAGCTAAGGACTTCATTTGGACAACTTTAAAGGCGATTTTCTCAATATTTAGATTTTTTTGCACCCGCAGATTCCAGATTTTCAAATAGTTGTATCTCGACCAAATATCGTCCGATCATAACAAACCATGCATCAATGGAAAGCTCATTTATTCAGCTTCAAATTTCAAATTGACCCTTATGACTGGTTTTGTAGTCCAGGGTCACATATATGAGGAGTAATATCTGGGTAATTACGTGTGAAGCGCTGCTCACCTGAGCGATCTCCAAAGTCAACACTCCTTCAGAGAAATCCAGTTTCTCATTGACCTTGATCTCTCGTCCATCTTTATACCACAGCGCCACAGAGTCTTTCTTCATATTAGCAACCTGCATCACAGGTTAATACGTCACTAATTAAGAAACAGGCAGCACTGCGGTTTAATTGGAGTGTTTAATCAGAGAGACGGCTCACCTTACACTTCAGTCTCACACAGCACTCAGGTGTGACTTCATAACCGAGATACTCCACGAAGTGTGGACCTTACAGAGCATGAACAGCATGATTAATGTACAAACACAGTGAGTATACAGGATGTGGAATGAAATACTACAGTACTACTACTTTTTTACAGCATAGTATGTACACTATGCACAGTCTGTCCACCTTATTTTGAAATGCAGATGCAAGGTATTTTCTGTGAATGTGCAAAATTTCTGAATCGTTAGCCGGTAGGTTAATAACTAGAAGAGTAACAAAGTGCAGTAAATGGTAGAAGTATTTGCGCTATAACCAACTTTGTTTATAGTTATGACAATATCTTAAAATATGTGACCCTGCCTGTGAAAACCCAGCTAAAGTCAGTTCTTTTGTGATTTACTGTTTTCTACATAAAATCATAAAGATGCAGAACATTCTATGAAAATATAACCTTTATATCTTTAATATTGACCGAGTAAGGCCATGACAAAGATTGAAATCATAGTGAAATGAATGGTTAAAAAAATCAAACTTTGATGCTTGTTATCTCATAATTAGATTATAATTATGCATCCGCTCTTAATAATAAGGTGGATAGATGTGTGGAATACATGAATATTTGCCAAAGTGTGCATTATTAAATAAATAGTTCAGACTCTAACTTCTGATTAGTGTAATTTTAGTAAAACTGATATACTATAGTTTTTTTGTTTTTGAATTAGAATTCATTAACTTTTTCATTTTTAGTAAATTTTTTTTTGTAATTTTGTTGTTAGTAATTAGTTTTTGTTTTGTAAGAATATGTCTATATAGTTTTTATTCATTTCTATTTATTAGTTTTAGTTTTAGTAAATCAAGTTTACTAACATGTTTACCAACTAATCAAGTAACTAAACGGAAATTAGAAATATTGCACGGGAACTAGCTGAAATAAATAAGTTTAAGTTTTTTTTTTATATATTATATTTAAGTTAACATTTCTTTTATTTCAAGTACCGAACATTTTGTATTTTTTAATTAAATTTTTTTTTTGATGGTTTTAGTTTTAGTTAACGATAATAACCCTGCTTCTGATTAGATGAGTTGTGTTTGAGGCGGTTGCAGAATGCCCATAAATGCACAACTGTGATCGCACATTAAAACAGACCTCTGTGTTTTTTTATAATCGGAAACATCATGCTGCAATTTATATTAAAATGACTTATATATAACGCAATTAAGCACACATTAGGGCCGAATGAGATTCAATTTAGCTATTTTGAGTGTGACGTACTGTCAGGTGTGACTTATTTTCTGCAAAATACTTAGTCTAATAGTCACTTCACATCAAGGGCCGGTTGCAGCAGCTGTATAAATTAAAACTAAGCTTAAGTTGCAATTTACGCTAAATAAATGACTGTTGCATCAAGTTTAGTATAATCTAAATATTTCAATGAATGAAGCCTCCAACCAGACAGCTGGAATAAAATGGCAGGTTTCCTGAATTGCATCATTGTAAAATTATTTATTATTATTATTTAACATATAACTTAGTGAAGTCATATGATAACAATGTATTGTATTGCTGTTTGAAACATGACTGCATACTTGTTCACATGCATTTTTAAATAATACTGCAGCGCATTTACTGCGTGCATAATCATACCTTGTTTCCTAACCCATTCTTTTTTCTGGAACTCCGATTCCTTCTGTAACTGCTTGAACACTGAAGAAAATGAGATGGCGTTATCGGTACACACTCTATACATGAGATGCATATATATGTACGTGTATATGGACTTTCAAAAAAAAACATTAAAAAGTATAAACTGCACTTTCAGATAGTATAATTTTAATGAAATAAAAGACCACTTAAGTGTACTTACAGTAAGACACTTTCATGACTTGACTTTAAAAAGTGCACTTTGTAATAATGTCAAATTAACAATTTATTTTAAAGCATTATTAATACTTTAACGTAATAAAGTATTATCAATTTATTTTAAATCATTATGGTTTAATAGTCTTTTCTTGTGCTTTTAGAAGTACACTTATTTTGATGTGTTGACTAACATACTAAAGCAGATATGAAATACTGTGGTACATTACATTTAAAGTTAATATTTTTTAAATGTACTGTATTGCAACTTCATTATTACAAATGTGTAATTACATTAAAGTGTATTTCGTTTTACACACGTACTTTACATGTACTTTAGTCCTACTTAAGTGGCTCAGAAACACTGAAAGTTTAACTCATTTTAACTAATTTAAACTATAATACATTTTTATTTAATTGCAAAAAAACATGCAATTAAGTATCCGAAAACATTACATTCAGTTCACACTTAAGTATATTAGTTTAAAGTATTATAAATGTATTACTTCCACAAAAAAGTACTCTTAAACGTATGGTAAAGTGAACAGGATAGAGCAAGTGCTCTCACGTTCAAAATAAAAAGTTAAGAACGTGAAACATTTATTCAACAGTGCATGTGACGTGGTGGTTACTCACTGGGGAATTTGTGGTCGTGGCTGATCTTCAGGAGTTCTTTTAGAGCTGTGAGGAACAAGACAGAGAAGTAGTCAGAATCGATAACCAGTGCTGACTTGGTAAATTCAAACATATAAAAATGAAAAAGGTCAATGAACTCACTTTCCTCAGAGAGTGTGTAGCTGGCAGAGGCTCCATCAGTGTGTGTCACGAAACAAGAGTAGATACCCAGATCTTCTTCTGAAGGTGTTTTAAAGATGGCTTTGGATCTACAGACAAATATTGAAGAGTTAGAATATGATCCCATGCTAATCAACTATCCCTTTAAGTGTATTACTTTAAAGTAATATAAAGCATTATTTCCACAAAAAGTACTCTTACAAGTATGCTAAAGCATACAGGATTGAGCAAGTGCTCACACATTCAAAATGAAGTTAATGAAATGTTTCAAGAGTGCATGTGATGTGATGTTTACTCACTGGGGAATTTGTGGTCGTGGCTGATCTTCAGGAGTTCTTTTAGAGCTGCGAGGAACAGGACAGAGAAAGGATCAGAATCAATAACCAGTGTTAACTTGGTGAATTCAAACATATAAAAATGAAAAAGGTCAATGAACTCACTTTCCTCAGAGAGTGTGTAGCTGGCAGAGGCTCCATCAGTGTGTGTCACGAAACAAGAGTAGATACCCAGATCTTCTTCTGAAGGTGTTTTAAAGATGGCTTTGGATCTACAGACAAATATTGAAGAGTTAGAATATGATCCCATGCTAATCTTTTTTTTTTTTTTGTAGTTATAGCTCTGGAAATGTGCTGAAATTGTTTGCTACACTCTTAAAAATAAAAGTTCTTCACGATGCCATAGAAGAACCTTTTTGTCTAAATGGTTCCATAAAGAACTTTTAACATCTGAAGAACATTTCTGTTCCACAAAAGGCTCTTTGGGGCGAAAGAAGGTTCTTCAGATTACAAAAAGGTAAGAAAGAGATGGTTCTTTAAAGAACCTTTGACTGAATGGTTCTTTGTGGAACCAAAAATGGTTCTTCTATGGCATCGCTTCAAGAACCTTTTGAAGCACCTTTATTTTTAAGAGTGTACATTAATAAATAATATATTTATTAAATGTTCTACCCAAGACAAGTTGGTTTGAAGGGACATTTGAACCAAAAACAAAAAGACTAAACATCTACTCAAGATCGTGTCTTTCCAAACCCTCATCTTTAAAACAAAAATGAAGATATTATTAATATTATCTCGTTGTCCATCCATTAAAAGTCTATTAACAAACAGAAGTCAAGCAAGCATATTTGAGCCATGATCTAAAAGTGGATCTGTCACCCATGGCTTTTCATTTTGGCCTAGTTTTGTTACATAAATAATGACACGGTGTGATATGTCATGTGTTGTTGTTCATCTGAAGTTTTATTTTCCAGATTTTAAGACCTGCTAAGGACCAGATTTTTATTATTTTATTACGTCCTGATATGGAAAGCCAGGGAATTCAATAGGGTGCCCTTTCTTTTTCACATGACTGTACATCTTGGATGGCCTGAGGGGGAGTAAAGTATCAGCAAATTTTCATTTTTGGGTGAACTATTCCTTTAAAAAGTTTTTTCTGATGAATAAACGTCTTATGGGTTTGGAACAACATTTGCATTTTTGATTCGACTAACCCTTTAAGCCATCATTTTAAATGTGATAATTAGTAATTTAACAAAACTCAGTAGCCCATAGACACTTACTTGTTACCCTTGGTCTCTAAGGTCATGCGTTCAGGTTCTGTCATTTCCATGTAGTTCTTGGACCAGACGAATTTGGAGTCAGCGGTGAGGTTAGAGCACTCAAAATTCAGTGAAATGACGCCGTCATCGTCAACATTCACAACTATCTCGGTAGTTCCTGTGAGAAAGAAGTGGCTTGTTGGATTTTGTTGAGAGTAGTTAAGTCTTGTTGATTTTGGTTTGTTTTTAGGGTTAACCTGGATTTAAAAACAACTCTAAACAGATTCCTCATTTCCAAAAGCATCCACTGTAAAGATTACGTTAAAAAAAGAAGTAATTTTCAGAGGTATATTAAGTTATTTGAAGAGAGCTCATGAAGACAAATGTATGAATTGTACAGAAGAAAAGGATCATTTTAATTTATTTCACATTGATTTCAATTTTATCTGCAGTAGCTTTTTTTGTAGTACAATACAATGTTATTTGAGAAATTCTAGTTCCGTCTAGTTTAGTACCTGGTTTAGTCACTGCCTCAACTGGTTCTGTTGGATCTGATGCTTTTATGCTGAACAAGCTTTTGTCTTAACCAAGGATAAGTGTCATGTGGCACAACATTTTGTCGCTCTTGTCAATCTCATTTGTAAAATCCTACATCACAGAGCTGTATTCTAAATGTAGGAAATTTGTTATTTTTTCATTTCACACATTAATTTGCTTTTGTTTATAGAACACAACAATTAGTGGTTAGTACACTATTTAATAGAACTACTCTTGTGAAAAATGAGTGTTTAATTGTGCAAATAAACAAAAAAAACTGCACTTACAGTGCCTTGCGAATGTATTCATACCCCTTCATTTTTTTCAGTTGCTGCCTTATGTTAAACTGCTTTAAATTACTTTTTTCCCACATCAATCTACACTCCATACACCATAATGGTAAAGCAAAAAACAGGTTTTCACATCTTTGCAAATTTATTAAAAATAAAAAACTTAAATGATTCCATTGCATAAGTATTCATACCCTTATTTGGGACAGTTGAAATTTAGCTCAGGAGCATTCAAATCGCTTGTAGATGTCACTACACTTCGAGTGAAGTTAACCTGTGGCAAATTCAATTGAATGGGCATGATTTGGAAAGGCACACACATCTTAATCAACAGCTGATAATGCATATCAAAGCAAAAACCAAGCCCTGAGGTCAAAATAACTGCCTGTAGAGCTCAGAAATAGGTTTGTGTCAAGCCACACATCTGGGGAAGAGTTCAGAAAAAAAAAATTTCTGCTTCATTTAAGGGTCTCTGTTACCCTTAATGGAAGAAGTTTGAAACAACCTGGACTCTTCCTACAGCGGGCCTCCTGACCAAACTGAGCAACTGATGGAGAAGGGCTTTGGTTAGTGTGGTGACCAAGAACCTGATGGTCACTCTAGTTGAGCTCCATGATCATATGTGGCCCTGGACCACAAAACCAGTCATACAGGTCAATTTCAACTCAACCAGTCATCATCTACAGCAAAATAAATAAGCTTTCCATTGATGTATGGTTTGTTAGGATGGGATAATATTTGGCCCGAGATACAACTACTGTATTTGAAAATCTGGAATCTGAGGGTGCAAAAAAATTTAAATACTGAGAAAATCTCCTTTAAAGTTGTCCAAATTAAGTTCTTAGCAATGAATATTACTAATCAAAAATTAAGTTTTGATATATTTACGGTAGGAAATTTACAAAATACCTTCATGGAACATGATCTTTACTTAACATCCTAATGATTTTTGGCATAAAATAATATTTTGTGCTCCAGGGTCACATATAAACCATGTATGCCACGTATGTACGCGGATACGCTGTTTACGTTCAGATCAAAGCGTAAACAACATAAACAGTGTATCCGCGTACGGTGCTGCTCACATATGTTGTTTACGTATGTGATACTCTCCAAAATGGTGCTATAGGGTGACGCGGAGGAGACGAATTGTTTGAATAAAGTCGTTATTTTTGTTTGCGCACAAAAAATAATTCTCATTGCTTCGTAAAATTACGGTTGAACCCCTGATGTCGCATGGATTATTTTAACGATGTCCCTGCTACGTTTCTGTGCCTTGATCGTGTTAGGACCCTTGCTGTCTGTGGGAGGATCAGAAAGCTCTCGCATTTCATCAAAAATATCTTAAATTGTGTTCCGAATGATGAACGAAGGTCTTACGGGTTTGGAACGACATGAGGGTGAGTAATGATATAATTTTCATTTTTGGGTGAACTATCCCTTTAAGTGTATTACTTTAAAGTAATATAAAGCATTATTTCCACAAAAAGTACTCTTACAAGTATGCTAAAGCATACAGGATTGAGCAAGTGCTCACACATTCAAAATGAAGTTAATGAAATGTTTCAAGAGTGCATGTGATGTGATGTTTACTCACTGGGGAATTTGTGGTCGTGGCTGATCTTCAGGAGTTCTTTTAGAGCTGCGAGGAACAGGACAGAGAAAGGATCAGAATCAATAACCAGTGTTAACTTGGTGAATTCAAACATATAAAAATGAAAAAGGTCAATGAACTCACTTTCCTCAGAGAGTGTGTAGCTGGCAGAGGCTCCATCAGTGTGTGTCACGAAACAAGAGTAGATACCCAGATCTTCTTCTGAAGGTGTTTTAAAGATGGCTTTGGATCTACAGACAAATATTGAAGAGTTAGAATATGATCCCATGCTAATTTTTTTTTTTTTTTGTAGTTATAGCTCTGGAAATGTGCTGAAATTGTTTGCTACACTCTTAAAAATAAAAGTTCTTCACGATGCCATAGAAGAACCTTTTTGTCTAAATGGTTCCATAAAGAACTTTTAACATCTGAAGAACATTTCTGTTCCACAAAAGGCTCTTTGGGGCGAAAGAAGGTTCTTCAGATTACAAAAAGGTAAGAAAGAGATGGTTCTTTAAAGAACCTTTGACTGAATGGTTCTTTGTGGAACCAAAAATGGTTCTTCTATGGCATCGCTTCAAGAACCTTTTGAAGCACCTTTATTTTTAAGAGTGTACATTAATAAATAATATATTTATTAAATGTTCTACCCAAGACAAGTTGGTTTGAAGGGACATTTGAACCAAAAACAAAAAGACTAAACATCTACTCAAGATCGTGTCTTTCCAAACCCTCATCTTTAAAACAAAAATGAAGATATTATTAATATTATCTCGTTGTCCATCCATTAAAAGTCTATTAACAAACAGAAGTCAAGCAAGCATATTTGAGCCATGATCTAAAAGTGGATCTGTCACCCATGGCTTTTCATTTTGGCCTAGTTTTGTTACATAAATAATGACACGGTGTGATATGTCATGTGTTGTTGTTCATCTGAAGTTTTATTTTCCAGATTTTAAGACCTGCTAAGGACCAGATTTTTATTATTTTATTACGTCCTGATATGGAAAGCCAGGGAATTCAATAGGGTGCCCTTTCTTTTTCACATGACTGTACATCTTGGATGGCCTGAGGGGGAGTAAAGTATCAGCAAATTTTCATTTTTGGGTGAACTATTCCTTTAAAAAGTTTTTTCTGATGAATAAACGTCTTATGGGTTTGGAACAACATTTGCATTTTTGATTCGACTAACCCTTTAAGCCATCATTTTAAATGTGATAATTAGTAATTTAACAAAACTCAGTAGCCCATAGACACTTACTTGTTACCCTTGGTCTCTAAGGTCATGCGTTCAGGTTCTGTCATTTCCATGTAGTTCTTGGACCAGACGAATTTGGAGTCAGCGGTGAGGTTAGAGCACTCAAAATTCAGTGAAATGACGCCGTCATCGTCAACATTCACAACTATCTCGGTAGTTCCTGTGAGAAAGAAGTGGCTTGTTGGATTTTGTTGAGAGTAGTTAAGTCTTGTTGATTTTGGTTTGTTTTTAGGGTTAACCTGGATTTAAAAACAACTCTAAACAGATTCCTCATTTCCAAAAGCATCCACTGTAAAGATTACGTTAAAAAAAAGAAGTAATTTTCAGAGGTATATTAAGTTATTTGAAGAGAGCTCATGAAGACAAATGTATGAATTGTACAGAAGGAAAGGATCATTTTAATTTATTTCACATTGATTTCAATTTTATCTGCAGTAGCTTTTTTTGTAGTACAATACAATGTTATTTGAGAAATTCTAGTTCCGTCTAGTTTAGTACCTGGTTTAGTCACTGCCTCAACTGGTTCTGTTGGATCTGATGCTTTTCCTACACCAGCTTTGTTCTGAGCGCGCACACGGAAAACATACGATTCCCCCTCCTTTAGATCCTTGATCTAAAATAAGAGAAACAACATCTACTACCATAAACCTACCCTTGTGAAAAAAGAAGTGTGCTTAATTGTATTAAATGTGAGCTTGTAGTGTGCTTCAAATCTTAAAAGTATATTTAAAAAGATGACATAATTGTATAGATAATAGTTATGAAATAAAAGGCCACTTAAGTGACTCAAAGAGTGACACTTTCATGTTTCATAACACACTTAAGTACAATTAAGTTTGTAATGTAAAATTAAAAGTTGTAAAGTACATTTTGAGTCAATATGTTTTAATAATCTTTCTTGTGCTTATTTTGACATACTACAGCACATGTAGAGGTTATGGTTAATATATATTAAATGTACTAAATTGCAATTATAATTTCAAATGAGTAATTACAAATATATTTAAATACATGACATACAAGTTTCAAGTATATTTTAGTTTAACATAAATGCGTGTAAGTACATTCAACGGTACTTGAACCATATTTCAAAGACAACAGAAGTAATTATGAAATTACATATAAAGATGTACTTAAGTCCTACTTAAGTGGGTAAAAAAAACTCTAAAGTTCAGCTAATTGCATTTAATACAAATTTAAATATATAAAATATTTTCATTTTAATTGCAATTAACATGCAGTTAAGTTTCCCAAAACATTACATTGAGTTTTCACTTAAGTATATCCTTTTCAATTATTTCCATGATAAGTACTCATTTTAAAAGTATGCTACAAGTGTACTTAATTTTCTCAAAGGAATACCAATATCACAACCCTTAACAAACTCCACTGCCCTACGGCTTCCATATGCATACAAACCTTCTTGAATGTCTTGTCAGTAGCTTTCTCATTGACTCCTCTCCACATCTCAAAGTCTGCGTCAGCCTCTTTGATATCAATGTAGTATCCATTGACAGGATCACGACCCTGGTAGACAGGCGGTTTCCAGAGCAAGACCAGAGAGTCCTTACGCACCTCCTGTACTTGGAGGTCATGGGGTGGTCCTAAAAACAGGTTTATAGTGTAGAGCATTTCAGACAGAGCCAATGTGAGAAACAAGAGAATATGTTCTGGTCTGGATGAGTCTTAAATATTTAGATTCTTATATGATTAGTTAGATTAGGTTAGATATCATGTGAAATCTACTTCCAGAATTCTGAAGGATGTGCTTTAAATCTACAGTGCATTTTATTCTATTGGAATTATAATATTGGGACCTTTGAATGTTCCAAAAGGTCTAGTTTTTGTTTTGCTATTATTGGAATCTCTAGTATCCTTAACAATTGGTTTCAAATTCTTTTTACTAAGGATTGCAGATTATCAGTGTGTTTAGTATCCCCTTGTGAAAAAGAAGTGTGCTTAAATATATTTAATGTGCTCTTGTAGTGTACTTAAAATCTTAAAATTTTATATTTAAAAAAAAATACGCAACTAAAAAGTTTCAAATGCTCACTGATGCTCCAGAAGGAAAAACTTAAGTGCACATTGTAATGACATTAAAGTGTATTTAAGTTTAGCTTGTTAGTACATTCAACAGTGCACTTATTATATATACACTATATTTCAAAGACACTATAGAAATGACAGAATATTGAAATTATTAATTATGAATTAAGATATACTTAAGTCCCACTTAAGTGGGTCAAAAACTCATTCATTGCACTTAATATAAATTTAAACTATAATTAATTGTAATTGCATGCAATTAAGTGTCCAACACATTACATTCATGCTTAAGTATATTCACACTTAAGTACTCTTTTTAAAAAAGCATGCTTTTTAAAAGAGTACTTAAGTGTACTTTTTTCACAAGGGTCACATTTTTTGTAAGCTTTCCAGCTCTGGAAACTAAAAAAAAATTATAATTAATTTGTGCCTACCCGGTACAGCTATAGTCCACTCCTCACACTTGAATGTCTCACTGGGAAGAGACGGGATGCCCACACCAGCCATGTTGGCAGCACGTACCTGGAACTGGTACAGCATGTTTTCTTTAAGCTCTGAAACCTAGACAGAAAGACAAGGTTGGAGATCACAAATTGGCCACATCATGGTCTAATAATTTTGCTTGTTATTACCCAAATGTACTTACTCTATAAGCTCTCTCACTAACAGACTTAATATTCGCCTCGTGCCATTTTCCTGGAACTCCTCCGATGACCTCACGGTAATCAACGAAGTAACCAGTGATGTCAGCGCCACCGATGAAAGTGGGCTGTTTCCAGGCTAGTACCATCGAGTCCCGCACACACTCCAGCACAGTGATGCCGTAGGGTGGAGTGGGTGAAGCTGGCATAACAGAACACTACAGTTAGCAGTGAAGCACATTTGCAGTATAAAGGAAACTTATGACAGACTGGGCGTGTACCAGCATATGTGAAATATCCAAACCAAACACAGAACTGTAAAAATACAGACTGGCACTATAACATTACAAGGAGGGTATCGTATAGTAGGGAGGTGTCCAGCATATTGCCAGTTGTGGCTGGTGGCAAAAAAGAAGCCAAAGAGGATCCCTTGATGCATTTATGTGGATAGTGATGTTATTTGAGGGTTTAAAAAAGTCTGTAGCTGAGAAGATTTACCATATATTAAAGCTAGTAGATACCCCATTGGAAAAACCAGGTCAGTTTAAGATGTTCAAGTTGGTTTCTAGAACATGATAGATGTTGGGTTTCTGGTTCAAGGTGCTTTACCAGGTCTAATCAATATTTATATATTATATATCAAACATTGTTTTTTAGATCTTGCATTACAACTTTGCAGCCAATCAAACAAGCAAACAGAGACAATAATCAAAAAACACTCTCCTAAATGACCCTCTTTGCGTAGTGTTATGAAGTCTAATTCCCTGTCGATTTTATTTTTATTTTTCCAATTTATACCGTTTAATGCTATATTGTGTTGTATTGTTGAAATTATTGTACGTTTTTCTGCACACATTGAGTTTTTGTGCCAGAGAGTACTGCTTCGATTAGAAAAAGGTGTGCACTTTAAAAGCGTGTTTCATAAAGGAGAAGTGAGCAGGACGCTCAACAGACAGTATCATGGATGTTAAAGGGCATGACATAGAAAGTGTGAAAGACATGCAAAAGATTGAGGGAGTGGGAAGGAGTGTACGTGGGAGAGCGGGTGAGCTGGTTTTGTAGTCACCACTATGTTGGATCAGTTGTGACCCAAACTAGAGGAGGTCTACAAGTCCTGACCCCTGGGAGGAATGCAGGGAGCGCAGCTAGAGTTTGGTGGTTGTGGCCTTGGCACTAACGTGTCATATTGGACGTGTGGAATGTGTAAGTCAAGTAATATAAATTTGAAATATAATACACTTTTGTTTCATTGCAATTAACATGCAATTAAACATCCAAAAACATTACATTTAGTTTGCACTTAAATATCTTGTTTTTAATTATATTAATTCTGCAATTAGTACTCTTTTTAAAAGTACGATAAAGTGTACTTCTTTTCCACAAGGGTCAATTTAACAGTAATTAACAAATAAATGATTAATGAGGGAACTGGATCAATTGCAATACACTAAAAAAGTGTTTTAAAAAAAGATGCAAAAGTGCAAAGAAATTAATTAAGATTGAATGGGAAAAAAAACAGGAAAGGAGAAAATGGAAGACAGGCCAACTCTGAGGAGGGATGCCGATGGGTGATGTTCCAGAGAGTTGGTTTTCTCTCTCTCTTCTCACCTGAGCCTCTTTAGTCCTGACCCCTGGGAAGAATGCAGGGAGCGCAGCTAGAGTTTGGTGGTTGTGGCCTTGGCACTAACGTGTCATATTGGACGTGTGGAATGTGTAAGTCAAGTACAGTGGTCAGAATTAAAAAGTGAAAGCTGGAAAAGTGAAATCATCTTAATGATATCAATAGGAGTGACTATAAATGACTTACCAATAGCAGCTTTAACTGTAATGGCTTCTGATTCTTGTGAGAATTCACTGATTCCCGCAGCATTGACGGCTCTTACCCGGAAAACGTAACTCTCGCCTGTGGTTAAGCCATGACAGATAAATCTGCATGAACACATACAGACAGAAATTAATATATTACAACATAAAATGAAAGTCTCACACAAACAGTTCTAGCATTTATTAGTGAAGCTTGCTAAGACAAACATACTGTTGCTTACTCTTGTTCATTTAATAAACCTTTAAATCCCTAAAGGCATGCTTATTCCAACATAAACGTTTGTCACAAAAATTCAGTCCGATTTTTGCGATTTGTCTGTTTAGACCATGGCTGGGCAACTTCGAGATGAGATTAGGATACATCTCTATAAAAATATTTGCATAGCATTAATTTAATACGGAATAATTGATGACGGGCTGTTGAATTATTAGAAAATGAATGCACTCGGGGTGGTATGCGGCCACGACGTGAAGCGTGTCTTTACTGTATATGTGTGTTTGTACGGTGGAGAGCGGGAGAAAGAAAGCGTGCTTTCCGTCGGTAATAAAACGTAATTTAAATACTTTGGCATTTTTATCCTGTTGTTTGTTATATTTAGTGGCTTGGTCAGAGTATTAGTGGGTTTTGGATCTTTTGCTCTAAGGAGATTCGAAACAACTTAAAAATCATTTGGCGAAGTGATATGGAACTGTAATGTGGTCAAGACCTGCCTGGAACTACTTTAGCCGTGTGTTTCCTGAAAAATAATAGCATGCCTCAGAACGCGCAGAAGCATTCAAATGTTTATCTCAGCTGAAAATCGCTGCTGACCAGGAACTTTTGGAACTATTTTCATTGGACGAGAAATAATCTACAAACCACTTGGCCAATTTGTGCCTGAAACATAAGTTACTTTATAATAATTATAGAATATAGAATATTGTTTATAGAAATGTTGTGTAAAAGCAATATCACTTTTGGATTTGTATTAGTCTGTGATCACTGTGCCTTGTGCCTAAGGCCACGTTACAGCTGAGACATTAAGTACACCAGCACTCTTGCTTGATTTGATTAATTATAATTACACTGTATGTATCTTTCTACCTTGTGCATTTAACTGGTTTGTTGTTGCATGGCTCCCAAGTGTTGCTCCCTGCAATGCTGCTCTCAATGTAGTAGCCCACCAGCTCTTTAACGTCACGTGAAGCTTCCCATGAAACCACCACAGATGTGTCTGTATTGCGGGTGGGAACCACACGGCCTGGGGCTGATGGGATATCTGCAGGCAGGTGACAAAATAGTCTATTACTCTATTACGCTATTATAGAATTTATATTATATTCAAACAATATTCACCTGCATGCAATTACGTTGGTTAAAAATGGTAAATGAGGAGTGAATGGAATATCCACATATGAAGTAAGGGCTACTTATACATAATTGGATACAAAATATTGAGTGGAGTTGAAATATTTTAATTAACTCAAGGCTTCTGCAAACAGTACATAGCGAATAGATTTTAGCCAAGATGAACGAACAGGTTCAAACAAGATGAACATGCATCCTGCTTACCAGATAAATAATTACATGGACATGAAATATGCATATGAGTTGAAATTGTTTTAAAATCGCACATATTCTAAAAGATTTCCACAATAATAATAATAGTAAAATTTTCATATCGAAAAATTAATTTCCTATTGTTTTAGTTTTCAGTGTGGCAACAAGACAAACACAACAACACTACAGTAGTATTAATACTTAAGTCCTCTAATTTCATTTAGATAAAAAAAACAATAATTAAGACGCAAGATGGCTCTAGTTGCATTTGTATGAAACAAGAAACGAAGGACATGAAAGTAATGCTGGATTCAGTTTCCCGGATGTGCGATACGCCAATCAGAATTACCGTAAGTTTTCCAGAGAGCCTAACATAACAGTATAATATATCTAAAGCCATACTCATTAAAAATATCACGTTTTCCTTGATCTTTTGCTTTGTAAAGAGGCTCTCATTGAATATATCATACCCAGCTAATTAAGATATTTTTGATGAATTCTGAGAGCTCTCTGACCCTCCCACAGACAGCAATGTAATTACCACGATCAAGGTCCAGAAACGTAGCAAGGAGATCGGTAAAATAATCCATGTGACATCAGGGGTTCAACCGTAATTTTACGAAGCTACGAGAAGAATTTTGTACGCAAAGAAAACCAAAATAACGACTTTATTCAACAATTCATCTTCTCCGCGTCACCCAACGTAAACAGCGTATGCTGTTCTGTGTCAGCTGCGTCACGCGATTTGATTTGAACGAAAACTACGTATCTGCGTGACGCAGCTGACACAGAATAGCATACGCTGTTTACGTTGGGTGACGCGGAGAAGACGAATAGCTTCGTAAAATTACGGTTGAACCCCTGATGTCACATGAATTATTTTACCGATCTCCTTGCTACGTTTCTGGACCTTGATCGTGGTAATTACATTGCTGTCTATGGGAGGGTCAGAGAGCTCTCAGAATTCATCCAAAATATCTTAATCTTACGTGTTTAGAACGCCATGAGGGTGAGTAATTAATGACAGAATTTTCATTTCTGGGTGAACTAACCCTTTAATGCACCAAGATATACAGTCTGATGTTCTATAGGGTTTCTGCGGGGTTTAAAAGGTCATTAAAAATGGTTAATTCTCCCTTCCACAAATTAATGCCTAAAGGTCTTCAATTGCAGCAGAAATTATTAAATTTATTGGAATAATTGTTGCATGCATTGCAAAAAAATGTATGTCTAAACAATGACGATACATTTGCTTTAGATGCAAAATGAAGATAAGAAGTCTTGCTTTCTGAGAAACTGATCAAAATTAAGTGAGTTTATGCTTAAAACAAAAACAAATATCTTCCAATGGGATAGGAAAACTTGTTTTCCCTTTAAATTAAGTTGATTGCCCACTGGCAGATGTTCTTTTTTAAACATAAACTCACTTTATTTTTATATTATCAATATCTCAGAAAATAAGACTTCTTACGTCATTTTGCTTTTGTATCTTGATTTATGAATCTTTAGACATTTAGACTGGAAAACAAGACAAAACAAAATTATCGAGGAAGAACGTCACTTTTTGCAAAAAGGTACAGTAAAAATGTCCATATTCTAGTTAAGCTATTTTCAATATCCATCCTCATCTAGATTCCAATGAAATCCAGTTGATGTTATATAAACTACATTAAGCTGGTTTCAGCTCTATTTTCCAGTAATATGTGACCCTGGAGCACAAACAAGAAACATTTCTGATTATTATCAATGTTGAAAACACTTACATTTTTGTGGAAACCGTGATAAACTACCATTAAAGTAAAATAAAAAAATATACTTTTATTCATCAAAGATGCATTAAATTGCTCAAAAGTGACGGTAAAGACATTTATAATGTTACAAAAGATTCTATTTCAAATAAATGCTGTTTTTTTTACTTTCTATTCGTCAAAGAATCCTGAAGTATAATGATTTCACATACGTTTTAAGCAGCAAAAACAGTTTTCAACATTGATAATAATCAGAACCATTATAAATAACTGAACACTGAAGACTGGAGTAATGATGCTGAAAATTCAGCTGTGCATCACATGAATAAATTACATTTCAAAATATATTCAAATAGAAACGTTATTTTACATTGCAATAATATTTCTCAATATTACCGTTTTTGCTGTTTGTCATTGGACGTTGGACCGAAACGTTGTATGTGAATACATTTATTTTTGATTTATTTGCAAGTGAGGATTTTTACACTTTTACTATGTTCTTTATCAAATAAATGTAGATTTGGTGAGCATTAGAGCCTTCTTTCGAAAACATTAAAAAATCATTATTATTCCAAACCTTTGACTGGTAGTGTATACACCACTTTGCAAGAAGTAAAGATTAAATATGCATGATAAATTGATTTCAAGATGGCATATTATCTGATGGCATCAATTTTGCAAGAGATTACTATTATTGTTGCTCTTACCATCTCTGTACCACTCTATCTCAGGCTGGAAGCGCTGCAGTGACGGGTAGATGATAACAGAGCAGCCGAAACTCAGCGTCTCACCCTCAAGTCCAAAAGACACACCAAACTTCTCCACAATGTGCGTCTCGAATTTCACGCCGTACTCCAGACAAAGTGCTGCAGTACACACACATATTAAACTCAGTTTTATTTTATGAAAATGCAATATCTATGACTATGACTCCAGGATTCACCTTGTGGAAAATGATGCACACATAAACACATATTTATAACGAAACACACACAATTCACATTGTACAACATGTACAATGAATTAATCCTCTGAAAGGGTTTGGAAACTTTTCACAGGAATATCATCAAGAATTGAAAGGAGACTGACAGCAGGCATAATTTAGGTGGACAACATATTCATAAAATACACAATGAGACAACAAAAGTGCGGTGAATGTTAGTGAGTATAGGAAGACATTTGCATTAATGATGCTGAGACACACAAAGAACAGAAAAGAGTGGCACTTCATGAAGATGAATACAAATACACACACACAGAGAAAATGGAAATGGAAAGAATAAATAAAAAATTTTATGCAAGATAT